AGTAACTTGACTAAGCAGTTCCTTCCTGACATTTCCACATCAACTAGAAAGACTAAAATGAACTACAACATCACTTACATTTACATCTTTGTAATTGAGATTGATAACTAGTCCAAAAGGACGACCACCCATAGGCTCAGCAGGGATGAAAGAGTACTCAAACGTGGCTTGTCTCTGTGGTGGAACTACTGTATTCAGAGGGAGAGCTGTGAAGTTCTGAATATAAAACTGGTAGTCTTGAGGATACCGGAAAGAAGCATCGAGAGACTCAACAATGAAATCTTCTGCACCCTTATTGGTGAAGCCCACCAGAAATTTTACGATGTTGTTTGCTGGAAAGTCTAAAACACAAAAAATACTCAACCGTTAGAAACTTCATACACCACACCTAGCCTGTTTCTAGATGGAGAGTATCCAGAACAGATTCTGGCTGTTTAGAACTTCACTATTTTATGCGCACACTGATACAGTCTAAGCAACACTAAAGATGATGGTAGATTAGCACAGGACTCTTACCTTCACCTTTCACAAATAAGATGGTTGTATCAGCACTAGGTGAGGCTTTAGGTTCTCCTGACAAGTCTTCTTCCTCTTTTTCTTCTGTCTAAGACAAGAGACTTTTTTGAAAAATCCTATAGTGAACAGTGAAGCAAAGACCATGCTTGTTGCATGAGAATCCCACGTGTCAACACACACAACAATGCCAAGAACTAGTATCAGTTCCTGCTGTTGCAGGATTAGCACATAGTCGGTTCTCCCTCTAGCTTTGATTAGCATCATTTTCAGCATTTATCCTGCTGCTACTTCTACTTGACACAGTGACTAATCTGAACTACTTGTAGCTGTACTGAAAGGCTTATAATCAGAAAGCAACAGTAAGGTCTCTGGGAGTGGAAGGAAAAGAATACAATCTAAATGTTAAGTGTTCACATTAAACGATTTCTATTTAGAAAACACCTTTCCAAAATTACAGGCAACTATGAGGCAAATAAGAGGTACTTTCACTAGAAGGAGTATTTATATTCTTTTTTAATTAGTTGTTACCTACTCCTGGAAATGGTTAGACTGTTGGACCTAAGTTTGTGGATTCATTTGCTCAAGCTCACCTTTGTGATGATCCACTTTTTAATTTAGCAAATTACAAGCATTAAAGGCTTATTTTCCACATGGGGATCACGGGATTGCCACCTCCCCCACCAAATAAAAACAAGGCTGAACCCATTCTGAACTGTCTGAATTAACTGCCTGTTAGCGAGTTAGATCATTTGAATTCACTGCTTAAACAACCACCTGAAGCAGTGGATAGCCCACATGTACCATGATCTAGGAAAGCCATGAACCAGAGCTGAGCACCTAGCATCATGATTTCAAGATGCTATGCAAAACTGTATCTTCTATTTCAGTGATGAATAAAAGATACTGCCTAAAAACTGTAATGTTTTGTACCCAAGTCATAGACTAGCTATTAAAAGCAAATTACATCCAAAAGGTTATTTATTAATATGCTGTTAGTACCAAATATCTAGCGTACCTTCTACCGCTTTACAAAACTGGTCAACCATAAGCTCACCAATTTACCAACTTCAGTAAAAATCTAATAGAATTAAGTAACAGTTTACCAGGTCTCCATTTTCAATATGGATGTCTTTTCCTCCTAATAATGTCCCAAACTTTCTTATTTTACACCAGAAATTTGAGAAATTTTTGTACCAATGTAAGTACACTAAGCATCCAGCAAGCCCAATACTCTACTGCTACAAGCAGATCACTAACTACTGTCATGGTTTAAACCCAGACAGCATCCAAACAGCACATAGCTGCTTGCTCACCTTCCCCCATGCCAGGGGATGCGGGGGGGAAAAATTGGAGGGGTAAAGGTAAGGAGACTCGTAGATTGAGATTAAAAAATTAATAATTGAAATAATGATAATAAAAGTAATAACAGAATATACAAACAAGTGATGCACAATGCAGTTGCTCACCACTCACTGACCAGTGCCCTGCCCATTCCTGGCTAGCAATCCCAGAGCAGGGGAAAATCCCAGAAGAGAGCAAGCCAGCTCCCCCGCCAAACTTCATCTATATACGGAGATTAACATTACATGATACGGAATATTCCACTGGCCAGTTTGGGTCTGTTGCTCTGGCTCCGCTCCCTACCAGCTTCCTGTGCATCTGCATACTAGCAGGACATGGAAAGTTGAAAAGTCCTTGATTTCTCAGCAATGACTAAAAACATCAGCAAATTATCAATATTCTTCTCATACCAAATCCCATACTGAATCCAAAACACAGCACTACTCTAGATGCTAAGAAGGAAAATTACTCAATCCCAGCTGAAACTAGGACAACAACATAAAGTATTTCACCTTCTCAAGATGAAGCAAGTGACCCTGAACAGCAATATGGCCACTGGTGTAACAGAGATAACCTGCAACAAGTGTCAGGGACCAGGAATGTCATAAGCAAAAACAGGCTGCAAAACAAGGGGTTTGGAATTAATATTGAGCTTCACTGAGATTCTGTTGCCCCTTGAAATCAGATACCAAAGAAGCCAGAATGAAGCAGTCCTACACCCCTGTGTCCTTTTCAGCTTACTGAGATGCAGCTTAAGTTGGGAAGAACTACAAAGGGCTCCTCTGAGAATCTGGTTCCCTCATTTGGTTGGTTTTTTTTTGTTTTGTTTTGTTTTTTTTTTGTTTGTTTGTTTTGGTTTTTTTTTTTTGCAAACTGCAGATTTGGTTGTCAGAAATTGGGCTTTCCCCACGTGGTTTTTCAAATGGTAATTCAAGAAAAGGCAAAACCTTCTGAAACTTCAAACTGAACACAAGTTTAATTGGGGACTTTGAAGCAGCTCTTTGGAAATAGTGATGCTATTAAACTCATTTAAATATGTTTAAAGTATCGAGCTTCAAGCACTATTGGTCTATTTCATACTTATCAAGTAACATTCATGTACAATTACCAAGTCTGTTGGCTCATCTTCTTCAACTTCAGCTTCATCATCTTCATCTTCAACTACAGTATCTTCCACAGCTTCCTCATCTTCTGTAGCATCTTGAGCTGCAACTAATATACCTGACCCTACCAAACCAAAATGCAAATACAAGAAAGCCTTTCAGTGTCTAGTTAATCAATAGAGAACTGACATTGAGTAAGTACTGTTTCTTCTAAGACTAATAAGTTTAATAAATGATTAACACGTCCTTTTCATCTGCTGGTAACAGAACACTACACTTTCACAGGTAGTTAAAAAGTTATTATTTTTATTTTTATTCAAGTTTTAAAATATAAAAAAGTCTTTTTTAGTATGACCTCCTCAATATCCTGTACTACTATATCCATATGTTCAACAGAACAACACTATTCAGAAAATAAACCTGATCTAGAGCATGGCTCCAGAGCAAGGCTTCACAGCATGTGCAGTCAGACAGTTCACTGCTTCTTTGCTTTTACGAAGCCGAGTCTCATACATTCAAACACTGGGCAGATATAATTAATACAAATAGTGGCCACAGGACAAAGTTCTGTCTGTTTGATGTTTAGAGTACATGCAGGCTAGACTAAGAATTTTAAAAACATATACACAAAACTACAAATTAAAAAATTTCCAAAAATGAAATGAACAGACGATCGATTTACACAAACTTGAAAAAGATCTAATTGCCATGAGTACACAATTAAAGTAAATTTTTAAAAACTTGCATGGGGAATAAAAATCATTGAGCAGGACTAGTACATCCAAGGACCTCAGGTTTGTCAGTAAGAGCTAGAAAAATCAAATGTAACACCACCCCACCCCGAGTCTCTTTAGAAGGTATGCTCAAAGCCTTTTGCTCAACCATGTGCAATACTTAACCTAAGGCTAACGACAGTGATTTTATTTGCTGAAGGTTTAAACTTGTAAGTCTACAAATAAAGATTTGGGGTGGGGTGGTGGGGTTGTTTTTTTTTTTTTTTTTTTTTTAATAACTAAAACCTTTGTATCTGAACAGGCTACGGGTAGGTTATAAGTATTCTTCAGAAGCAACTGTGCTAGCACATTCTCTGAGACTTCTACTTTAGTTTTTTCACAGGATGTCAGCAGGGCTGCTGATGTGGCAGTGGCGGGAGAGGAGAGCTGCCCGCCGTGGGACGGAGCTTACACGCAGCGTGTGCTGCAGCCCACGGGATGAGCCGGGCGAGATGGCTGCCTTTCTGCCTTTCCAGAGTTAGTAGCAGGGAGGTAGTTTTCAGATGGTGAGCCAGACAACGCTCCGGAGTAAACCGAGCTTAGCGCTCGGCGCCGCGAAGGGCACTCGGGGGGTTGGAGGGCGAGGAGCCGGGCGGGGGGGGTGGGGGGAGGCCGGCTGGCAGCCGGTACATCTGCTAACGATCCACCAGCGCCGCCCCAGACAGGGACAAACCCGCCGCTAACGATCTCGAGTGGGTTTGGAGCGGGACAGCCGCGCCCACGTGGCTTTGCGAGGCCGATCTCGCGGCTCGGCCCCACACGGGTGCCCCGGGACAGCAGCAGAGCCCCGAGGAAAGCGGCAGGAGCGGCTCCCCCTCCCCACCACACCCGGATCGCCAAGGGGGGAGCCCGCTGAGGGCTCCCCTTCCCCCCTTCTCCCCACACACCCCGGCAGCAACGGCCACCCGCCTCCCCTCCTCTCCTCTCCTCTCCCCTCCCCTCAGCCGCCCGCCCGCCCTCACCTGGGCCGCCGCGGAGCAGCAGGGCGGTGGGGAAGGCGAGCATGGCGAGCAACAGCAGCTGCGACAGGCGCCTCATACTGATGATTGCGATGGCAGCAGCAGCAGCAACTGCAACAACCCCAGTAACGATAACCCCCGCGGCGGGCTGGCCTAAATGGCGGCGGCGGCGGCAGCAGCGGGCTCCATCCCGCCCCGCCCCCGCGCCGCAGCGGACGTGGCTCCGCCGGGGAAGCGGCAGGCGGTCACGTGAGCGCCCGCCCCTTCCTCCCGCCTCCCTCCCCGCGCATGCGCAACCCCCCCCGTGGCATTTGCCCTCAGCGCTGCCGGCACACGGCGCTGCTTTAAAGCACGAGTGGGGCGACAGGAACTTTCCCCATGGGAAACGCTGCGTGTGTTCTGAGGAGGCTGTTGTGGCTGTTACGGGTGGACGGGGTAAGGGCGTCTCTGCCGGCGGCAGTGAGGGGCTGCGGCCTCAGCTTCTCGCGTTTGGGGAAGCCGGTCGTGTTTGTTTTCCTTCACGTACTCTGAGGGAAGAATAAATCCGACGGGTGAGGGTTTGTTTAGTTGTTTTCACAGTAGACTAACGTGCCTCTGGAAGGAGCCAATGATAAAGCGTATTACTGACGCAGAGGTGTTACCAAAATCTCCCAATCCCGCATTGCTTTAGAATAACCGGTTTTGAGTCATCTATTCGATGGTTTAATTGAAAAAATTGCCCAAAGCGCGATAGGCAATGTATATGAAAGCGATGGTGTTACCTTTATCTCACTGGATCTTTTGTTAAACGGAACTTAATGAGTATTAAGATAGAAAGCCTTCCCACATCCTGCAACCAACACAAGCGAACATACCACGGCCGAAAACAGCCCCCAAGCTTTCTCTTTTCTCGTATGCCTAATTTAGCGATTTACATACAGGGTACAATGAAACACGAGTAATGTTAAATTACATTCCATATTTTGTGGTAACTTTGTCATTTGTATGTATGTAGCTTGCTGTGATGGCAATGGTAAATAGTCTCGAGTCTTCCATTTTCCACACTACTTTAATTAATTTGATTCTGAACCTGCAAATTACACCCCAAAAAATTATCAAAAGTTACCTTTCTATCTAACTTTTGTCTTAATCATATTTTAACATGCTGAAAATGTTACTGACTGAAGATGAAGCGTAATTATGAAAACTGAAGAACATCCATTGATACCAATAAAAGTATTTCTAGTCAGATAATATCCACCCCATGGCATAATACCACTTCTTCTGCAAAGGTCTTTAAATTTGTTTAACATAATAATCGTTGGCCAAACATGTTTAACTTAACCTAGTCATGGTTTGATTGGTTTGTGGGTTTTTTGTTTGTTTGTTTGGGTTTTTTTTTTTTTTGGAAAAGCAACCAAATTTTTCACTGGGGGAAAATACAAGAGGAGCCATAGAAGGTGTTCTATTTAGCGCTGTAGGAGTCTTTCTATTTAGCACCATAGGATCTGAAGCATGGTGTCTTCTAAGCAGTGACTATGTACTTTATATGCTGCTTTTCCATCTGAGTTAACTGATCCTGATGTTACTAATTAACCTGTGTGGTGCTCTTACTGAATTTGCATGTGGCGATGGCACAGAAATGTGTTAATTAAAAGTTTGTGTGAAAATAAATGAGATACGTTCACTAGCTTTAGCAAAATGTAAAGGCCAGACTGACTGCAATATTACATCTGTACCTAAAAGCCTGTTAGGCTGCAGCTCTTTTGTGCTAAGTACTCAACCCATATTGAACAATTTATAATCTGAAAGAAAAGACTGAAGCATGCTGCAGAGATTTTTTTTTTTTTTCACAGTCTGCTCTCTGTGTGTATTCACAGACATAACGCAATAAGTGTTGACAATAATTGCCATTGTTACTTTTAGATTTGACATCTCTTATGTTGGATACTAATTCTGAGAAAACTGGAGTTCACCTGGAGTTCACATTGCCCATGGGTATTCAGCATGTGGTCACAGTTATGTACAAGCATTGTGTCCTTGCAGTTAAAAAAGTTTTTCAGTTAGAAATTACAGGTAAAACTATTATTAGGAAAAATGTCTTCAGTTTCATAACATGTATTACAAAAAGAGTGAGCATTCTTAATGTCTGTGGACTATAAGTAAAGTTTACCTCACGTTTTCAGTTTCCATTTTGAACTTTTTAAACAATTCTCCCAGATGTGTGTGTCTTTCTAAGATATCGGCAAAAGGCAAATAGTTATTTGGGTACACATAGAGAAACTTCTTATTTCTGCATTACTACTTGTTTTAGTCATGGCAAAGTGTTTTAAGAATCTGTTGAACTGACTCTCTTCAGCATTTACTCAGTGGCTTCTGTGAGAAATGGATTCAGCAAAGTGCTGTTAGGAGCAGTGGTTTACAGTCCTAACCTGTGGTCTGCTTCCTATTTCAGTTTTGGCTGGTGTGCTAGGTTGTCTCAGGAAAAAGCTGGCTGAAATGTAATGTGACCAGGACAGCCATCTTGGTTGCAATGTAGAGTGAAATTTTGTTGGTAAAATCAGGAGGTTCACTTTCTCACTTGCTCCCTAGTTTTTCCTGAAATTTTGCATGCTAGCAAAATTAATTTTTCTTTTGCTCAGTTGTTTTTCTCTGGACTTTGCTATAACTGCTCATACCTTGCAGTGCCACCACATGCCAAGAACTGCACTACTTCCCCATTCTCTTCAGATTCAGGTCAATACAATAGTTTTGAAGAGTAACCCCCCTAGTCCAGTGCACACTGGAAAGGTAGCTCATTGGTTTTCTTAGTACTTCTCATGGGCTCACAGATACAACCAATTTTTCTGCTTTTCAGAAGGTGTCAACAGATGTAAAATTAGTTGGTGATTTTGTACTCTTCTGTAGTTTGTAGTGCCTGCTGAAATCGGACGAGATAATCCTGTATGTTGAGAGAATTGTATCAAGGATTATCTCTTCATTACTCTTTGTAGTTCAGAGAAGTAATTCTATGGATATGGAATTCTGAGATGTTTTCCCATTAATTTCTATAGTACTTTTCAAAATGACAAACAGTTATATTAATAACCGTGGCAGTTATTAATGGTTCCAATGAGAATCTCTCACTTGGACCTATCAAGCTGTTGTTATTCTCTCTCACCACTCTGGGGGATTCATTTATTTGAAATTGGTGCAGGCAGAAAGTACTCACATTGGAAGCCTCAGCCCTGGGGGTCCTGTTGGCTGCTCCCAGCTGGGTGGTAGTAGAGGAGACAAAACAGTGCTCACAGGAGCTCTTAATGAGATCTGCTAGATTTTTACCTGAATTGTGGGGGTTCTTTGAAGGTCAGTGCTTTCCAAGTTTTTTTCCAGGAAGGAATTTTAGTTACCCTACTGCAGCAAAATTCTCAGACACACAGATTCCTTATTTTATTGGAAAAAAAACAGAGAGGGATACTTCTCTGGAGATCTGCCTGATACAAATACCTGGAGGAATCATGTGTTTCCCAAGCTTGACTAAATAATTAGATATTTTTTGAGAAATGGAAAAAAAAAATCAACTGAAAAATCTAATAATCTAGATAAATTTGTCATTGCTAACCATGAGTGCTTAATCAGATTTATGAATTCCATATGCTCCCTGTGATGACAACAGGAAAGGAACTTTGGAGCTCCCTTTGACCCAGTTCAAGTCCAGTTTAAGACTCATTGTAACATTGTTTGAAGTTTGGGGTGATGGTTTTGCAATATATACGGATTATTTTTAGCCACCAGATTTTTGATCTTGCCTCTGCATGAAGAGCAGAAACAAAGTTGTTGACACCAAAAGATAAAAAGCTATTTTTATTCTACAGTATAAATTAATTCTTGCTACTAAGTCAGTGATAGCCTGGCTGTCTTAGTAGATTTATGTCATTGTGGACATGGAATTTCTAAGTCTAATCTTTCTCACCAAAGAAAAGCGTGATACACTGTAAAATTAGAAAGGTACAAAGTTGGAGAGTCCTGACTTCTGATGAATTCCTCAATTGCATCTAAGTGTTTTAGTTGTGAGACACTAGTAAAAAGAGAACCTTATAGACTATCCTAAGTCTTCAAGGAAATGATAAAAATCTTTTGAGTCACAGTTAAATGGCTTAATTAACTGATAAATTACTGTCTATAAGAAATAAATAGTATGTGCATAATTTTTAAATTCTGTAAGAAAATTTAGCCTGAGAGTCAAAGTGAGTTTGTGGTTTTGGTGGTACTAAAGATTCATCATTCCCATTTAATTATGTTTATCTACTAATCCTTATATATCGGTTGAAACCTAGCTGGAAGTGCCAGAGAGGTCAACTTCAAGATTACAAATTAAATTCACATTTCTGAATGCAAAACAAATTGGTAGGTGTGAGGGTTTGCTTGTATGAGAGCCTAGGAGGCACAGTGGCTTAACATACCAGCATTCCCTTTTAGGTAATTTGGACTTTGTAGAGTGGAAGAATTCAGGAGTGGCAGTGGTGCAGTTCTACATAGCAAACTGTCACGGGTCAGGACTGCTGGCTGTTCTGGAGGGTTTACACAGGCATGGATGTTGGTCACTAGTGGCAAACTCTGAGGTGGGAGGCTGCAGATCACCTTCCCACAGTTCAGCAAGAGATCCCATGTGTCTTTCTTGCATCAGAAGTAAAATGGGACAAATGTCCATTGGTATTTTTTTTTTTTCTGACATTTCAAGTTTCTTTATGCACACTTTACTTTTTTTGATTGTATTACATTACAGTCCTGAAAGCAGGATATCTGCTGCAAAGAAAACGAGTCCAGTTCTGAACCCTATTATGTCTATACAGTTCTTCATCTCCAGAAGGTTTATATAATAAGAAGAATGGGTGTGTTGATGAGGCATAAGCCTTTGAAGCGGACGAGGAAGAGGGAATGAGGACATCTCTCCTAGACAAGTTAGCAGGCTAATGAGATCCTAAGAGCTGCTGGCAGGGTTCAGCCGTCCTGTGGTGCTTCAGTGCAAACATATCCTTCTGCTGTGTTTGTGTAACAAGGTGTAGGGCAACATACACACATTTTAGTGACTGTGTGCACTCCTGCATCCCTCCCAAAGGAGCTCGAGTGGCTGTCTAGCCAGGAGCTAGTAGCAAGTACTCAACTAGAAAGCTAAGGAGGCTTGCACCTCTTGTATTATGTATTTATTTCTAGGATGTAAATGCACCGCAGGGCCCTAATTGCCTTCCAGAGTCCATTGTATACACTCTATATGAACACAGAATAGCAAGGAGCAAGAGGGGTAAGGGACACAGTAATATTTGTTAGCAGTACTCAGTACATGCAGACAACCTCTGATGTTTATCATTGTGAATAATGAACTCATCAGCTTGGCCTTGGAAAGTTTTCATTTCATTAACTGTCCTGTGATTGCTACGTTTTTCATGTGCTTTGTAACTAAACGTTCATGGTAATAA